TAAGTTCCGATTGCCAAAGCTGCAACAGGTGCACCATTGCCGACTCGGAGTTCAATCTCGCCTCGAGCTAACCGTCTACTCTGCTTCAGTCCCTGCATGGTAGTACAGATATGAGACCCACATCCAGTATCTAGTACCCATGATGAAGATATAGACATGTTAACTTCTATAACATACACCTCAGAAGAAATGGTCGTACATTCCTTCTTCTTGGTTGCGAGGTATGTATTGTAGTTTCTTCTCCAGTGGCCTGCCTTACCACAGTGATGACATTTGCCCTTTGCAACTCCTCCTATGGGTTTCTGGGTTGCAGATAAAGTGGACTTCGATTTAGGCTTTCCGACCGTTCTAGCCTTAATCTTAATCCCCTTCTTCGGCTTCCCCTTTCCGCCTTGGACCATAAGGACGGAAGCACCCTTGCCCTTAGTAAGGTTCTCCTCTGCAGTCTAGAGCATTTTAAGAAGCTCCAGAAGGGGTTTGTCAAGATCATGCATCATGTAGTTCATGACAAAACCTTTATACAGCTCAGGGAGCGACTGCAGGATCAGGTCCATTGCCAGCTCCTTCTGCAAGGAGAACCCGAGTTTCTCCAGATTGGTTATGTAACCAATCATTTTGAGAACGTGCGGACCGACCGGGTTCCCTGAAGAGAGCTTGAAACTAAGGAGAGCCTTACTCACGAGAAAACGTTCATGCCTGGATTGCGCCTGGTATAGCTGCCGCAAGGCCACAATCATCTCGTGGGCCTTCATGTCCTCGTGCTGTTTTTGCAGCTCGGTTATCATGGTTGCCAGCATGACATGGCTAACCTGGTTATCATCCTTAACGTGTTTCTCGTAGGCATCTTTGACCGCTTTCGGGGCGTTAGCGGGAGGGGCAGGAGGAATGGGCTTTTCGAGAACATACTCTTTCTCATCCATGCGGAGAACAATGGAGAGATTGCGTTGCCAGTCAACAAAGTTTGTTCCGTTCAATTTATCTTTATCCAGAATGGAACGCAGGGCGAGGTTGTTTGTGTTGTTGTTTGCCATCTACAGAATTTTGCAAAGATAGTTATTATCATGAATTAAGTATCTAATAGGTCTTTATTAAATATTCTCCCACTATTTCTAACAAGTCAACTACCCTCAGGTACGGAACCTATTGACTTGGGGTTTCTATTTGAAGAATACCCTAGCGGGCCAAGATCCATATTTTATTTAACTATAGTTGTGCTTTGCATCTTGCCCTACAGTTAAATTATTTAGGTGGGAATTCATTCCAATTGCAATCGTTATTACAACTCTTGGTTTGGTGGATTCTTTTAAATAAAATTCTTAATTGGGCCAGATCCATATTTCATTTAACTATAGTTGTGCTTTGCATCTTGCCCTACAGTTAAATTATTTCTGGTAGGAATAAATTCCAATTGTAACAATTTACAACTCTGGTTGGATGATCTGATTTTATTTATTGATCCTACCGCAGTGCCCTAAGTCTCTCATCCTTATGACCAAGACTTAGTTAAGACTAACCCGGGGCGAGTCAGTACCCTAGTTACGGGTTTCGCGCCTAACCAACGTAAACCGGGCGTCTCACTTGGGTGAGTCCGTTACCGATCTAAATTGGGTTTGACGAGTGACGGGGCGTCGGGGTGGCACAGACTTAAAATTATGAGGGATTTATAACGCAGTCTTGCCTATGGCATACACCGCGCGTATGCACTAGCGAAAATCACATACATGCATACATTCAATCATACATCACATGCATAATAAGTAAACGTGAAATGATTGTGGCTCCTAAAGAAAAACAAACGATAGCGCCTTGATCAAGAGATCTCTATCTCCGGCCCATCACGTCTTCCTTAGGATTCTCTATCACGAACGGACTTCGTCTTCTTATCTTCTTATAATTTTCGAGAGAAAAGAATATTTGAGGTAAAGAAGAGAATTACATCCAAAGTATAGAGATGAGGCACGACACGCAGGCCGTATTTAAAATTACAACAAATATAACTAAGCCACAATCATCCACCATGCAATAATACATACAAGCATCACATGCATCACATCATACATATTAAAGCATACACCGGGCGAACCGCGCTTGCCCCAGACCTAGTTTATTCTATTCTACGGAATAAACTATCAACAATAAATTAATTAAACTAGCAAGTAACTTAATTAAAAATCATAAAATACTTTAAATTTCCAGAATGTTAGAAATTTGATTTTCTAAATTCCAGAAAATAAAATATTTTATATTTACCGTATATATATATATATATATATATATATATATATATATATATATATATATATATATTTATTTATTTATTTATTTATTTAAATTCGAAAAAGGGCTTTTATTTCGAATTAAAAATATATATGTTTTCTAAATTAGCAAATAATTATTGGAGACTCCCAGTAAACTTTATTAATCTGGAAATCCTAAAATTCCAGAATGAATAAAATATAAAATTTTGAAAACCATTTTTCAAAGCTAGAAAACCGAAATTATATTGTGAAAATATATTTCGAAATTCCAAAAACATCAAAATTTATTTTTCAAGTCAAAAATAAGTTCCAGAACCAGAATATGATTTTTCTAGAATTTAAAATATTAATTTTTCAATTTAAAATAATTAAAAAGCGGACTAGTGAATAGTACCGATCCAATTACTTCAAAAATACAAAATAAATATTTTTACGTGTTTAAAAATTATGAAAATTTTTATACAAGCTTAAAATCTGTGGTCGAAACTTATTTTGAATTAAAATTAATTTTTGATCGTCAAAAATAAGTTTTCCTATTTTCTATTCAATAAACGAATTTAAAAATAGAATAATAGGAAATTAATCCCAAAAATAGATTTTAAAATTTCTGAGTTATATTGACATGTCAAATACTTCCCAGAAAATATAAAATCTAATTTTCATAAATATTAAGTATTTATGGAACAAATAACAAGTATTCTACACATAAACTACTTAATAAGAATAATATAAAAATACCCCAAACAGTAATTCCGAAAATTACTGAACAAAATTATATTAGGTCCAGTATCTAAATATGGCCACCTAATTAAATTTTAATGGGATAAATTTTTGTCTCCAAAATTTATTGACTAATGTACAAAAACAATAACGGTAAAAACTACTAAACTAGTAACTTCGTAAGCCTGCTCCGATACCACTGTTGGGAAACGAGGCTTGGATAACGCAGCGGAAAACAAAAATTTATAGTCCAAAACTCGATTCCACCCAAGAACAACTTACGTAAATTACTAGCTATAGTAAGAAATTTACCTTAACGGTGAAAACGGAGAACGGAGGAACGGTCGGGGATGGTTTTGAGGAGATGAACGTAGCGCCAAACGTATGAAGCCTCCAACGTATCCACACGAACTTGCTCCGGAGTCCAAGATTAAACTTGTGCTAGCAAGTTTAATATAGGATAGTAAAAACTATAATAATACTACTTTGGGAGTAATAAATATATAGTAAAATATTTATCTTATAAATATTT